CATCTAATGTTACAATGAATTTTAATATAATTAAAAATAGATGAACTCCTGAATACAACTTGTTGATCTTGGAAGAATTTTGGAATTATAAATTGATATGTTTAAACTAGAAATCTTTGATGAAAATAATAACATTAAGGCTTAATTGCTTATTTGGTCCATAAATTCAGCGGTTAGTGTCTAGTTGGTACCCGCTTTCAAAAATGCTTATATTGCGTCCCCATGTAGTATAATTACACCAATCAAGTCCTATCCAGTTAACGATGTTTAAATTAATAACGTTAACTTATTTGTGAACGTGTGTTGTGCAACCATTGTTGTTGTGACATTTAGTTGGGATATATAAGGTTGACATGTTAGGCATAACATTAGTTACATGGAAATTGAATATATTAGGGTTTTTAATTTGAAAAAAAGAATAATTAATACAATTAGGTGTTAACAGAATTACGGTGTTTGACGAAAGAAAGGGAATTTGGAGATTTTTTATCGAGTCTTGGTGAGTTTGTAATGGCTTGCGATTAGGGTTTTGCTGGTTGAAGAAGAAGACGCGCAACACTGGCTATGAGCTCGTGGAGGGGCAATCTACTAGTTGCTTTCCTGATTTCTTAGTATGTGTTTGATTAGCATTGTCAATACCAAATTTCGTCCGGATTGACCTTTTGGACTTTACTGTAGTCTATTATACTATTTACTTATTTTATTTCTATTTCATATTTTCGTTTTTATCTTTTATTTATTGGTTATTTTTTATTTATTCTCTTTTCTATTATTATTATTATTTATTTTGTGTTATCCTAGTTTTATTTACATTATTCTTATTTTTCCATATACATGTATATATATTTTTTCTTACATTTTTATTATTTTATTTTCTATTGTTATTTTATCTTATTTTTTTAACTTATTTTGCTTATATAATATGATAAAAAAAAAGAAATTAGGAAAGGGGACGTTTTGTCTTTAGCAAAAGATCCGAAAAAGAGAGAATGTTTTGGGTTTGGGGGACAAAAAAGAGCAGGGTATGTGCGAGGGGGGAGGCAGAAACGGTTTTCTGCAGAGTGGCGGGGTGCAGAAGCGTTTTGTTTTTACGTACGAATCAGTACGGGATTCGGCACAGCAGAATTGGCACAAAAACACTCAAGAGAGCAGAGAGACCTGAGGAGTGGAAAAAGGAGGAGGATTTGGGGAATTGAAGAGGATATCACCCATGATTCGATCGTGAGAAAAAGGATATAGAAAGAGGAAGGGACCGAAGTGGGAAAGGGAGACCCGAAACGAGTAACTGGGAGTGTTGCGAAGAAGCTGCAAACGGAGAGAAAAAAAGAAAGGAAGATTACAGAGAGGGCAAAGAGGAAGCTACTGGAAAGAGCAAGGGCACTTGAAGGAGGCTACGGAAAGCGGAAGAAACTAAAGGAAGCTTCAAGAGGTATGTGTTTAAATGGTGATTGTATTCATTGTTGAAATCCACCCCTGAAGTACGTAGAACTATTTAGCTATGATATTGGAATGCACGTCAAAGATTATATGTGTGTTGTTACTGTGAATTAATGTTGCACTAAGTTCATGTTATCTTTCCCATGCCCATTATTCAATCTGAATTTCGAGGATTCATGCATAATCCACCAATTCGCTGTTGCATCTTTCTATCATTAAACCACATCCATATCCATGCATCCGGCAATCCTTAACACAAAACCAAACCATCCTTACACCTCACGGCCAACATCAATCTTCAATCAATACCCCCCACACGCAAAGTTTTCAATTCCTTCAGTACAGTAAAAGCCAGAGAACCCACCATTTTTTCCGATCTTCCATTCACTCTCACACTCTTCTCTATTCACTCAACAAAATCACACCCTCCAGAACCGGGGCCAAAACGATAATCTTGATCATTATACTGGCCTTCATCTCCAACGCTATCACACGACCATCATCATTCATACACATCCAATATACCCCAACCTTGGACTTCTCTCTCCGGAAACCACCTCGTCTTCGTCCATTTCCTATAACCAACACACACGACCAAACACCCATATCCAGCCCACCATCTTCATCCTCACCTCCAGCAACAATCTTCATCCATTCCAACCATCAAAAAAAACACCCAACAACCCAAGCACAGAAATAGAAAATAGAAGAGTAGAATAGGAGAGCCCATCGGTGGCGGCCTCCAAGGCTGACGGCGCCGCGGTTGGAAACGGTCCCGGTGGTGTTTGGGTTTGCCGCCAATGTCAAGATCGGAGGAGGTGGTGGCGTGGTGATTGGGTCGCGGTGGTAAGCGGCGGCCAGTTAGGCAGGCGCGGCGCAGAGACGCCAGAGAGGAACCCCTCCCTGGGTGGCTGGATCGAGGCGCGGCGTGACGCGGTGGCTGGTCCAGAGGGGGCGGTGACGCGGTGCCCATCTTCGTCGTTGTGGCGGGTTTGGTTCGGAGGTGGCGGTGGCCGGTTCCAGCCGATGTGTCGGCGGCGTGCCTCCCAGCCCTAGGCTTTCCTGGTCAGATAGAAAGAGACCTGGGTCTCGATGGAGGGAGGCAGGTGTAGAGTGAGAGAACCCCTAAGGGAATTCTAGGTTAGAAAACAGCCGGGTGGGCCAAGCCCAAAAATAACGCACGTTAAGCCTTTTTAGAACGTTCGTCCCCTACCTCCTCAACGAACGTCTGTCCGTCCACTTCTTGGACGGACCATTTGGTGACCAACTCCCACTCCCAACCGAACGCTCGCCAACAACGAAAACGCTCGTTACACAGCGAACGCTCGTCATTCAACGACAACAACGAACGCTCGATCCAACGAGCGCTCGTCATTCAACTCCTGACGAACGCTCGTCCCCAACGAGCGTCGTTCATTCAGCCCTTCACCCAACGAACGTTGTCCCCAACGAACGCTCGTCCACGAGAGCTCGTCATTCAACGCCAACAAACGAACGCTCGTCCCAAACGAGCGCTCGTCATTTTCAACTCCAACCGAACGCTCGTTCCCCAACGAGGCGCTGTCATTCAACCCTTCCCAACGAACGTCGTCCCCAACGACGCTCGTCCCAACGACGCGCTCGTCATTCAACTCCAAACCGAACGCTCGTCCCCAACGAGCGTCGTCATTCAGCCCCTTTCCCAACGTCCGCTTCATGATCCCCCAACGCTCGTTATTTTTTGTTTGTTTGTTTTCTTATTTTATTTTATTTATTTCATTTATTTTTGTTCTATCTTATTTCATTGTTTTATTTTATTCTTTATTTTTATTTATTTTTATTTTGTTCTATCTACTTATTTCTAGATATTACCTATCCTAAAATATATTTAATAATGCAATATTTACAATTTAAATAAAGGAATTTATAAAATACGTTTTAAGAGTTAGGCACAGTGTGTGATCGCCAGCATCGTCCTTGTGCTGAAAACCTTTTCTTTCTTAATTAAAATTACAAAAAATATGTTTAAGGTTTAGGCACATGTGTGATCGCACGCATCGTCCTTGTGCTAAAACCTTTTCCTTTCTTAATAAAATTCAAAAAATATGTTTTAAAGTTTAGGCACATGTGTGATCGCACGCATCGTCCTTGTGCTAAAACCTTTTCTTTTCTAATTAAAATTACAAAAAAATATGTTTAAAGGTTTAGGCACATGTGTGATCGCCCGCATCGTCCTTGTGCTAAAAACCTTTTCTTTTCCTAATAAAATTACAAAAAATATGTTTTAAAGGTTTAGCACATGTGTGATCGCACGCATCGTCCTTGTGCTAACAACCTTTCTTCTTTCTTAAACAAAAATACAAAAAAAGTATAAAATCTCAAAAAAACCCGAAAACATCAACAATTTTAAACAACAAATAGTCTTGCTACCCAGAACTACGTGATCCTTGATTCTCCATCAAAAGTGGAGATACGTAGGAGCAAGGCTAGCCCTTGTCAGGTTCACTTTCCCAAAAATCCAAATTTATCCATAATCATTTTCCAAACAAAAATTTCTAAACAATTTTCAAACAATTTTCAAACATTTTCTAAAAGAAACTACGTAACCCTGATTTCTCATTTTGAATGAGAATAGTAGGAGCAAGGTCAATCCTTGTCGGGCCCAAAAAACTAAAAAATATGTTTTGTTTATTTTAGAATTTTATTTTAGGGGATAGTTAAACATTTTGAAAATCACATCATATTCGTGCATTTAGTTAAAGGTACGCCTTAGGGCAGGCGTTGTGGGGTGTAAACACCTTCCACGCGTAACCGACTCCCGAACCAATCTGGTTTTCGTGGACCGTGCTTATCGTTTTATGGTTTTTCCGTTTTGTAGTTTTCCAGAATAAACTATGGTGGCGACTCCAATCTCTCTTTTCGAAACCGTCGTTTCTTTTACGGATCGTCGTCCCGTCGCGATTCCGGTTGCGACAGATGGCGACTCCACTGGGGACGTGCGTAAGAGAGTCAGGCCATTTAATTAGATGTGCGAATTCAATGTGGTTTTTCTTTGTGTTTTTCTTCCCCTTTTTCTTTATCTTTGTTTGATATTTGGCATAATTGCATGTGTGTTTGTTTTGATTATATTGAACCCTAGGGTAGAAAACATGTTATATCTGCCTGGGAATCTTCTGGTTGTTTTGCAGGTTAGGGTTTGGGGTGTACAATTGCATTCTCCCTTCACACACATACAATATGCATATCATGAGTGAGGCCCTATACCCGGGTCTGAGCGCAACTTAGAAATAGAGGGGTTGTGTAGCGGTGTCATTTGGGACATACTTCCTGTTTGGCTATCGTGAGGACCCCAGCTAGAGTCTGTTCTCTTCATTTGTGTCTCCACATCTAGTTGATTACTCTGACTGTTGTGGAGAAACAGTGGAAAGAGCCATAGCTCTGGTGGCCTTGATTTAAGCATTAGGAAGCTATCCTTGTGAGTGCATTTATTTGGCCTTAGAACTTTAGTCATTCTACCCTCAACTAGGGCACAAAGGGAGAAATGTGTACTGTTGCCCTCACCTTGTTTGTTCCTTTTGAAAATAATGACATGGCATTTTCATGCTACGCATGCATTGGTGTTGGTGGTCATGTTTTACTTCTTTATTGTTATTATGCATCATGTCCATACATCATTTGGTGACATGCTGGTGATAGGGGAAATCACAGGTGTTCACTTGATTTACTACAAGATGGAAGTTGATACAAGATCTGGTGCTACACAACAGACCGATTCTATCATTTTAAGAAAGAAACCTCGCCTGAGGATTCATGGGGGGAATCTGACAGGGCTCATAAGTTTGGGAAAACGGCTAACGACCGTAAATAGAGAAACCTTCAAAAAGAAATATGGAAACCTGTTGGGCCTAATGGAAGTGGAGGTACAGTTGCCCGCTATCACAGCCCTAGCGCAGTATTATGACTCCCCGCTAAGATGCTTCACCTTTCAAGACTTCCAACTAGCACCAACTATAGAAGAGTTTGAGCATATCCTTGGTTTACCACTAGAGGGTACCACGCCGTATCAGCACTTGGAGCATCACGCCTCTATATCAACTATCGCTGCCATAATGAAACTACAGCCCCAAGAACTCAAAGATAGGTTGGTAACAAGGCATCAAGAGCGTGGGCTGACACAAGGATACCTTGAGCAATATTTGCACGACCCGGGCGATAGGGAAGAATGGGAGACCTTCATGGATGTACTAGCCCTCACTGTGTTTGGCATTGTCCTGTTTCCCAAGCTGGAAGACTTTATAGATTACACTGCTATTGATGTCTTCATGGCAAAAAAGACGAGATCAGAAAACCCCGTAACAGCAGTCCTCTCAGATGTGTATGGGACTATGAGTTTTTGCCATGAGAGAAAAGGGAAGAGGATTCTTTGTTGTTTGCCAGCGTTATATTCGTGGATGACGGCACGAGTATTTAAGGGGGTAATCGATGTTAGAAATTCACCTGAGAATATGTCGCATCAAGGAGGTAATGGGTGGGCTCTTTTCTTTGCCGGTTTGAGAGAAGGAAACGTAAAATGGCGCCTTCCTTGGCTTGAGACTAAACCATATATCCAACATTGTGGCAACTTCCCTAACATACCTCTCATAGGCGCTAGGTATTGTACTAACTACAATCCTGTTTTGGTCCAAAGACAGTTCGGATACCCTCTGAAGGGAGCGCCTTCACCAGATTATCTCACAGCCTTCTTCATCTACTATGAGGACGGACATTGTACTGAAATGTTGAGGAGAGTCAGAAGTGCCTGGGAAAATGTGGTGCGAGCTTAGATGGACTTTAGGAGTGGAGTGATGGATAGCAGGGTTAGTTATCATACCTGGATTCTGGAGAGGGTAAGAGAAGTCAAGTTGCCTTTCAAGCCCATCAATGATCAATCGGCGAGTGAAGGAACATCCCAAGCCTCAGAAAGTGAAGAGGTGAAACAGCTGAAGGCTGAGGTGGAGAAATTGAGTGTGAGGAACGCTAGGTTGGAAAATGAATTACAGAAGGCTCGCAATGATTTTGTGGATATGAGGAATGATAACGAAGAAAAGTCACGGTCTTATGAAAACATTGTCAAAAGCCAGAAGGCCGAGAGAGATTATACATTCCGAATAAAACAGGATCTTGCAGCTGCAAGTAAGGAATTATCCATGAGGGTGAATGAGAGGAATGCGGCGTTAGAAGAAGGAAAACAGTGGAAGCACCTCTACGAAGAAGCCAAAAGGGATAAGCGTGAGGCCTTGAAAAGATTAAGAGAAGCGTAGATTCAGGTAGAAAAAGCGGGGCGCAGGGTGGATGACATGGCCATGACTTTTGAGGCAGGTATGAACCAGGAACGTTGGAAGCTAGCAGAAGCCGAAAAAGAACATCGAATCATGATAAAACAAATGGAGGAGTACCTTGAGGAGCAAGAGGAAAGGTGGAGATCAATGGAGTTTGAAGAAAGGCATCAAGCCTTGGTGAAGCAAATGAAAGATCACATCGCAGCACAAGAGGAAGCTGTGAAGCATTGGAAGAGAAACTTTTCCCAATTGGCTATGTTGGCAAACGGAGCAATTGAAGACATTCCCAGGATGGTGTTGGACGCCGAAGCCATGACCCATTTTTGTAACCCGCCTCAAGAGATAATGCTTTTTATTAACCATTGTAAATGGTTAGTAGGTGAAATAAAGACTTTCATTGCTCAAGCTAGAAAGTGATTCAATGTTTTGTCAGACTTTCTCTATATGAAAGACCTGAGATGTTGTATGGTATCGACTTGTATCAATTTCCATCATTAACGCTGTCGTGATCTTATGATTTCCACCTGTCATTAGCATGCATCACATTTTTTATCTTTTCTTTACTCCTTCTTTCTTTCTCTTTTTGCCTAGCATTGTTCATCTAACTTAAAAACACCGAAAATTTTTGCTTTGAACATGCAATATTTTCGTTTCAAATAAAATTATTTAAATTTTTCTCACATGTATATATATGTATTTTTCTTAAAAATAAAAAATAAATTTTTTTTTAAAAAAATAAAAAAAAAACGACCAACTTTCTACGACATCCCTAAAGGACTCAAACCAGTGGCAAAACCATGGAGAACCAAGGAGAAGTTCAAGAGGGAATGAAGGCCGATATCAACCAGTTGAAGGAACAAATGAGTCAAATCTTAGAGGCCTTGAATGCCTTACAAAGCCCTGAAGATTCGTGCGCACAATGACCACAACAAAGAGTTCCAGAGATACAAACTTTCCCTTCCTATGGTCGTCCCCCGAATTATACTCCACCCTCAGAAGTGGACTTGAGACATCTTGACGCTCAAAAAAAAGTAAAAGGGGACACAGTTGAAGTAGGAAACGAGTTTGGGGGCAACCATTTTCATGGTCCTTAGGAGAGTTATTGTAAGCACTAGGAGGACAAAGCCACCTGAGTTGAAATCTTCTCACCATGTCATCACATCAATGTTGAGGTTGTGAGGCACAAATTTGAAGTGTTGAAAAATTATGAAAGCCATAGAAGGTGGATGAAATGCCAAGTTTGAAAATGTTGCAAAGTTTGAATAGCCTCGGATCTGATGGTAGTGCCAAAATAATGGTTCATGCATGTAATGGAAGGTTAATAATTCTTCTGTTCTGAGAGATTGGCTGGCATTGCCTCTAATGGGAGTACTCATCTCGAACCTTGATGCATCGGCCTAGGGAGAATCCGGTGGATGATTTTTTTTCTTGAGACAGTGCAAATATAACATGATGAGACATCTCATAGAGCATGATAGAGAAGGAGTATGAATCATTCAGAGAATATGCCCAAAGATGGAGAGAAATTTCTGCTCAAGTAGAATCGCCTCTGAGCAACAAGAAGGTCACTACTGTATTTTTAAGTACTTTACAACCACCATGAACAATTGATAAGCAATGAGAGGTTGAAGGTGGAAGAGTCTCTGACAAGGTGTGGAGCCGAACCAAAGTGCAGAAACGCTCGACGCAAGCACGCGGACAATCACCCTATGGACGACAGAGAGTACCTCACTAAGAACAGCGTGGGACGCTCGTCCAGCCAACAGCATGGGACGCTCGTCCAGCCAACAGCATGGGACGCTCGTCCAGAGATTAGAAGGGGACGCTCGTCCTGCACTTAGAGTTGGACGCTCGTCCAACGAGAGAGTTCAACGCTCGTCCATCGGGAGAAGCCGACGTTCGTCTAGCCAACAGCACTGGACGCTCGTCCACCAGAAGAGTTGGACGTTCGTTCTTGAAGCGGACGCTCGTGGATGCTTGCAGATGCGGACGTTCGGCCACCAAATTGAGTTGAACGCTCGTCCAGATTGACACTCGTCCAGATTGGACGCTCGTCCAAGAGAAGCGGCCGCTCGTCCTACATTATCAAGAGGACGCTCGTCCAACACCAAGAGTTCGACGCTCGTCCGGCAACACAAGTGGACGCTCGTCCTATAGATAGTAGAAGACGCTCGTCCACCGAATAGTGGTGGACGCTCGTTCACCAGAAGAGTTGGACGTTCGTTCGTGAAGCGGACGCTCGTGGATGCTTGCAGATGCGGACGCTCGGCCACCAAATTGAGTTGAACGCTCGTACAGATTGACACTCGTGACGCTCGTCCAAGAGAATCGGCCGCTCGACCTACATTATGAAGAGGACGCTCGTCCAGCACCAAGAGTTGGACGCTCGTCCGGCAACACAAGTTGAAGCTCGTCTAAGTGGACGCTCGTCCTGAAAATCGCTCGACATAAGTGGACGCTCGTCAAGATATCGGTTCGTCAAGATTTCAGTGAACGCTCGGGCGCGATTTTTTCCAGAGAGCTTCATGCCCAAGCGCGAATGAGAGGGTGCCAGGCGCGACTTTTACCGATATGTCTATTTAACCTTAAGAGGCGAAGGGAAAAAACGTCTTTGGTTCGTTGGAGGCGAAATTTCACTGAAAGGAGAGCTTGGAGGACTGCTTGGGTCCTTCATCTTCTTGCATGGCCATGTCGCGTCCCTACGGGTCCAATCGGGCATTGACCGAAGAAATTGCAAATCATGATGAGAAGGTCAACAACTTCACTCCGCTCCCCATGACCCATACCGAGCTATTGATATATCTTCTCCGCAGTAACCTCATCGAGGATTTGTCTAAATAGGCCTACACGACCCCCATACCCAAAGAACTAGGTCATAAATGCAAGGTGTGATTATCATGGAGGAGTGCGTGGACACTCAATAGAGGCACTCAAGGCTGTAAAACATAAAGTGCAATCTTTGATCGATTCAGTGGTCTTACATTTAGGATTTTTAAAGTTTGAAGAAAGTCAATTGAGCGTCGTGGCAAGGCGTGAGTTCGCCTCTGCAAATGCCATGGACAGATGAAGAGGACTCTAGTACTATCTGGAAAAGCAGAGGTTATTGTAAAAGGCAACTGATTTTGTCTATGCTCATATTTTGAATTGTGTTGCTATGAGGGCTATGCTCATCGATATCATATTTCCATTCATGACTTTTAATGTGAACTTTCATTACGAAAGTATCTCCAAGGTTTTCTGGAAATCCTAATAGGGTGTCGTGGAGAATGAAAGCCGCAAAGAACAAATCAAAAAAAAAATTTTTGTTTTTCTTGCAAATTCCCGAACCCCTGTTTTTCTTGCAAATTCCCGAAGTTAATTTTCTTTATTTGTAAATATTTTTTTAGCCTTTTTTTTTCTTAATGGTTTCGTACAAGTAATTGATTGGAAATGTTAGACTAAGTGTGTCAAATAAAAAATCATAAAGGGCTAATTTATTTCATTAAGTTTTAAGACAGTTGTGTTTTAAGTGTTTTAAGTTTACAAAAATGAAGAAAATTCAAAAAGAGAAGGGTACAGAAAAGAAAGGAAAGCAGGGAAAGCATAAAGAAAGAAGGAAAAGGGGAAGAGGCAAAGAAGAACAGAAAGCTTAAAAGGAAAAGCTGAACAGCATAACGGAAAGAAAGAAGCAAAAAATGGAAAGCAAAAGGGAACGAAAAAACATGAAAGCAGAAAGAGCAACAAACGGAAAGCAAAGGAAGGAAAGCAGAGAAATCATAAAGGAAAGCAAGAAAAGGGAGAGTAAAAGAGGAACAGAAAGCATAAAGAAAAGGAGAGAAAGGAAAGAAAAGCTTAAAGGAAAGAGAGATTAAGAGTTCAGAAGACTTACCCGGAAGCGGAAGGCACACAGGAAGAAGCTCGTTGGAGGACTCGGAGGCCTTCGAAGGCAGGGACGGAGGAGCCTCGCAGAACTCAGACGCTCTCGAAGGACGCTCAGGGAAGAGAGAGAGAAAGATAGAGAGAGAAGGGGAGAGCAGGAGAGAGAGTGGTCAGACTGAAATGCCGGCCAACGCGGAGGAACGCTTGATTTGTAGCCGAATTTTCCACTGTGTCCACAATTCCGGTCATCGCTACCGGGGACATCCACAGTCCCGGTCTTTCTGATTTCAAATTTCAAAAAATGAAAAAAAAATGAAAACGGGTAGGGTTTTGTTGGGTCAATCCGGCCCAACACAAGACTTCTTAGATGATCCGATTTCACAAAAAAATAATAAAACAAAATATAAAAAAAATATGATAAATAAGAAAATCTTCAAAAATAATAAGTGGAGTGATGTAAAATTTGAAGTGTTCAAAATTCTTTTTCATCTGCACGATAAAGGACATTTTTCAGGTTCATTGGGCCTCAGTGTCAAGTTAGCCTTCTTTGAACCCAATTCTTCTGAAATATAAATTTGAGTGAAGAATTATTTTGGCATGTTTGTAATTTCACATCACACCATTTTGTTTGATTTTATTCCTTCTTC